AAAAGTCTGAAATATTATGAGAATTATCAAAATATGACTGAGAAATTAAGGTAGCACGTGCTGTTGGAAAAATGGTGAAGACAGACTTGCTGGAGACTAGGTTGTTACAAACCTTCCATTTGTAAAACATGCAATATCTGGGAAACACAACAAAGTAAAATGCAATAAAATAGGTATGCCTGCAGAAGGCAAAGCAATGACTTGTACTATGTAGGAAAAGGTTGTCAAAGGTTGTCTGGTCACCGTCACCTCTTGTAAGTCATAACTGAGTGCACCATACAGATAACACTGTCATTCAGACAGTCTACTGAACTGCCAAGAATTGACAGGTGTCGCTTGAGTCACTATATTTACTCATACCTTCTTCAGGTCTGAAAATCTTTGTTAACTAACAAATAACACAAAATTTTGACATTTCATTAATTACTTCCAAAGCTAGAATAACAGAAACTTTTTTTTTAAATGCTTACATAGAACCCATTTGGTTCATTGTACAAAAAACATATTTATGGTTATTTTAGTGCCATTTGTGAAAGATAATTTTAAAACTGCATTAGTAAAAACAGGCAGTTAGTGATGCAAAGTATCATTGACAATTATATCTCACTAATTTTTACCAAAGGCTGTTGTTGCTTTTGTTGTTATGTGCCATCGAGTCGAACCCGACTCAGAGCGACCCCTCCTTGGGTTTCCGAGGCAGTATCATACGGAAGTCGATTGCCCAACCTTCCCTCCGAGGAGTGGCTAGTGGGTTTGAACCGCCAGCCTTCTGGTTAGCAGTCAAGTGCTATGCTACCAAAAGCTAGAACATTTTAAGTCATTCTAACGGTATTCTTTTCCAACTGTTCACCTATATTGAGGACATTTCCTCAACACTCTTGTTGCGTTACTCCAAAGCAATATTATAATCCCACCATTTTCTGTGCCTACTACACAGTTCTCTCATTCATTCTTGATTGGGCTCCACTATTACCAAATTCATGGAGCCCTTTTAAGCCATATTTAGCCAAAAAGACTAGAATGTAAGGATGTGAAATCAATCCTGTCAATCTGTTTGCTTCAGTATCTTTATCATACACTTCTGACAACTCCTGTGCTTCCTCCAGGTCATCAATAAAAAGGATATGCACACATTACCATAACAACTCTAAAATTACAATATTTATATTAAGTTCAATGCCGAACCTGTAACAGTTGAAGATTAAGATCAGAAAAACAATTACATCGATTAGAAGGAGAAAACAGGTTCTTCAATAACCAGCATTTAGATGACATAAATGAGCAGTAGTTGTTTAATCATTAATCCCCTATAGCCCTGGTGGCACAATAGTCAAATTAAAGTGCTTGGCTTGCTAACAGAAAGTTCAGCCCAACATCCTCTGCGGGAGAAAGATGTGACAGTTTGCCTGGTAAAGATTACAGCCTTGGAAACCCTATGAGGCAGTTCTTACTCTGCCCTACAGGGCTGCTAAGTGTAGGAACCCACTCGATCACAACAGTTTTCTTTTTCTTTTTTTTTAATCTAGACAAAATAGCTAACCATCTGTGGTTAAAATGATTTTACTTGAATGTGCTGTAACACACATGTAACGTGTTGTATGTGATGGTCGGTACAAATCTTTAAAAAAAGAGGGGAGTAGTGATAAATGAAAGGACTCTAAATGTCCCAGCTAACAGGGAATGAGCTTTTTTCTTTTGATCAGATTATGAAATCCTTATTAGACTGCAGTTACCTACCTGGTAATAGCTGGCTTTGGCCTCAATCATCAGCTGTTGGGTGGAGATCACCTTTTTCCTGCGTTTACACTCATCCTTGAGTAACTTGATCTCTGCCACCTGTTTGGTGACCAGCTTCTTGCTCTGATCACAATCGATGAGGCTCAGGCGCAGCCGCTCTTCCAGCGTGTGCAACTGCGCTGTGAGGAATTCCTGCGAGTGCAGCAGGTACTCGATGGTGAGTTGCGCCAGGCGGATGAGCTTCAGCAGCACCGGGTCCACGCCCGACTGGCAGTGTGGGCACTTCTCGTCCTCCAGCTTGCAAAAGGTGATGTTCATGATGTTCTCCTGCAGCGTGAGGACGTCCACGGCCCCCGCCACCTTGTCCACGTCGATTGCGCTCAGCCGCCGCCAGTTCACGCTCTCCAGCCGCGGCCGAAACTGGAAGAAAGGCAGGGGCCCCGAAGCCCCGGTGGAGGGGACATAGGCCATGGTGGCTGCCCCTGCTGCGCCCGCCGCGGCGGTGGCAGGAGCCATAGGGGCAGCAGGGCTCTCCGGACAGCCGGAGAGCGGGTAATAGACGTGCTTCTGGAAAGGCTGCAGGAAGAAGAGACAACGTAGCGGGAAGCAGAGTTGACGAGATTCGGAATGGGGGGCTGGAGGCAGGGGGACTGGGAGTCTCGTCGAGCCCCAGCCTCCCGGGGCCGGCATCCCTAGCCCGGCGTCCGGGGCCTTCCGATCTTACCATGCTTGAAAGCAAATCCGCTGCCTCTGCTTGCATCCGAGGAAGGGGCGGTCTCGTCTACTGGTTCCGCGCCGCCTCCCTGACCGCCGCCGCCACACTCCTCCGGAGCAGAATACCCGGTTCCCTCTGGCGGCGGAGGCCTAGGGTCCGGGCGTCCAGGCCGTTGCTATGGCGGCGCCCACGGCCCACACCTGGTGCAAAGGGCACGCCAGCACGCGCGAGGTCAGCGTGCGTCCAGGACCCTGCGGGACCAGAGAAGGCCTTAGGAACGAATCCACGTGGCCAAACACGCCCATCTAGCGAGGGTACATCCAGGGCGCCGACTCCCCGGGTCACCACCCTCCCAGGTTTTGTGGTTGGACACTCCACTTTCCTAAGGCGAGGGGAAGCCACGTCCATGGGAACCTCAGTCCTACCTGCCATCTATGGTTATTCTTTCTTATCCTCGCCTAAGTTTTGAAGTTAAAAATATCTATTCACGCTTATCTTTTGCACACAATTTAGAAAAATATTAAGCAACAAAACTACGTAAAATTAAATGGAGGAGAAGTGGGATTGACTGAAAAAGCACAAGAGGGAACTTTTGGGGGGTAATAGAAATGTTCTCTATTTTGATTGTAGTGACTACCTGGGTGTAAACATTTGTCATACTCTTTTTGTATTTTATACCCCTTTATTGTTGATTTTTAAAATAAATCTGCAGTTAATTCTTTGATGGTAGGTTTAAATTTCTTACATCAAGATACTTTTTAAAATGTAGCCTTTATGCCTCTGTGGGTTGGAAGCCAAAATATAACACTGATATAAGTAAAAACTAAAGAACTCCCCAAAATATGTAATATTTCACTTGTCTTTCCAAAATAATACATTTTCAAAATGCTGAAGGATGGATGGGAACATTAACTGTCATTTGCCTCACGTTTTACAAGGCCCTGGTATTTACCTTACAAACTTGTGTCGGGGTTGCATTCTGTTCCCTGGAGAGACTAAAATATTTTTAGCAGCTCCCTGTAGACCTTGGGCCTCTCATTCTTGGGGTCTTCTGGGGAATGCCTGTGGTTACCCCAGAGGTCAATGGGCTGAGGAAAAGCCAGACATTCCTCAATCCACCAGAGAGTTCCTGCTTTAACCAACCATCAGGAAAACTTTTTTCTTTCCTAACAGCCAAATATATAAACAGAAGAAAATAAAATTCAGAGTAACTGGGAGCAAAGTTGCAATATGAAAGACATTTTTATCACTTTCCAGATATTGTGAACAAATAAACCCATATGAAAGCATCAAGAAAATAAAACATGCATTTCATATGCTTTCATATAAACCATGCTTCCAAATAACTTTTAACGTGCCTCTGGGGGTGGGGGAGAAGAATCATCAACGTTTCACAACCACCTGGGTAAAAGTTCAAATGACCTAGGTTAAAATTTGACTCAGCCGTTTACTTATTGCCTGACCTTTAACAATTCATGCACACCAAGGGTATCAGGATACCAACCTGGTAGGTCTATGTCCTGTAGGCTCCATCCACTGGACTGCAGGTTCAGCGGGAACAAGGGCCGTGGTCTCTCTTGTTCACCGTTATATCCCCAGCACCTGGCACAGGACCCGCACAGAGAAGGCGTTAAGTATTTGTCGAAAGGGTACGTAAATAAAGATTCAATGAATTAGGCGCTTAGTTAAGTAAATAGCTGCTCCCCGCCCCTTAATCCTAGTTTCTCTGCCTCTAGTCTGTTAGCGGGATTAACCCACGCTCTTGGCCAAGGCCCGCGGGTGTTGAACGTGGGGTGGTGAACTAGGATGCTCCCCCGCGGCAGTAGGAGTAAGGAGGCTTGTGGGGTCTAGGCACCCTCGCCACGGCTCGCGCATCTCGGTTGCTGTCACCATTCCGAGCTGTTGGTCCACCCTAGCCCCTTGGTCGGATTTCGATCACAAAATGGCCGGAAGAGGAAAGAAGGGGGAACGCTTTCCTGTCTGCCTCCTCACAGCCGATCGCCCCGACTCCGGCGCGGTGCCTCGTCTCAGGCGCACTGTGCGCCCAGACCGCCAAACCAGCAAAGACAAAGGCTGGTGGCTGCGGGCTTCGATCGGGCCTGGGAGGTCCTCCTTAGAGGGCAAAGGAAGAATCAGGGCTGCGGCGGCCACGCTAGCGAGAGCTGCAGAGAGCAACCCGTGGGCGGGAAAAGGGCCAGGCTTTGTGGACACCGAAACGCACCATCCGCCGCTGGCTGTTCGCGGGCGCCTAGCACATCCCGGGCCTCAGCTCACCCCTGCTGCGCGCTCCTCGGCGAGACCGGGTGCTGCAGGCAGATGGGGGCGGCAAAGGGGATCCAGACCCTAGTGGAGCTGCTCGCGCAAGCAGTGCCAGCAGACGCGTAGAATCAGAGCTAGTAGAGGAAGGCTGGCTCTTAGTTCCAGGGCGCAGAATAAATCCTGTCTCGTCAGGGCAAGTTGTAGCAGGGCAAGACAGTAGGCACAGCTTCCCGCCCTCGCAGACTCTGGGCCGCCGGTTCGGGATTCCCCACCCCCCCTCCCGCCCCCAGCCCCACCACGCTCTGTCTGCCGCCTCTTTCCTCCTAGTCCAGGCTCTTCTGGCAGCTGGGCAGAACCCGGCACATCTACACCACAGCTCAAAATTGCGCTCCGCCAATCCAGAGGCTGGTGCAGACACGTGGTGCCTGGGCGCGCTCTGTTGCTGGCGCGTGATGCTCGCCCGGGGAAGGCTTTTCAAAGACAAACTAGATTCGTGCCTAGTGTGCTTGTCTTGGCCTGTGGCTAGCTCTTCTCCCTCTGGAGCTTTCTGTGAATTAGCTCCCAAGGAATGTTTCCTTCTAATGGCAGAAGTCTGCACATGAAAAAGAACTTGAAGAGGCTATTTAATACAGCCTCTCATTGTAAAGAAATTAAAAAAAAAAAAAAAAAAGAAAAGAAAAAAGAATAAAGGACTCACTACCGCGGATTCCGACTCCTTCTTGGGTTTCCGAGGTAGTATCTTTGCGGAAGTAGATTGCCCAATCTCCCTTCTGAGGAGTGGCTGGTGGATTTGAACCGCCAGAGTTATAGGTAGCAGTCAAATGCCTTGGGCACTGCGCCACCAGAGCTCCATGTAATGAGGTAGAAAACAAGATTTAGGAAGGTTGTCTTTGGCCGAATCACACTAGAAGTTAAACCCACTTCAGTTCCCGCGCTTCTTTCAATTTTGCTCACTTAGAAGTCTATTAAGGACTAAAGGCATGGATCTCTGTTAGTACAAAGAAATTGGGAAGATATTGTTGGGTCAGCAATAATGTGACTATTATTTGTTAACCTACAATTAGAACAGGTGGTCTGAAATTAAGACAATATTCAGTGTTTGTTTTTAAATGAATGATCCAGAAAATGCATATACTTCTCTTAGCAACCACCAAGTTGACCCAAATTGAGAAGTCTGAGGGCATCTTTTGCAAAATACTAGTTACTGCTGTAGCAAATAGTTATTAAATTTGAAAGGAGCAGCTTACAGAAATATGTGCTGTACGATAACATGTAATTGTAAAAGTGACTTTCCTCGTGCTTCTCCACTACTGAATCAACTTTGTATCATACTTTAGCACAACGCTTCAAACACTGTGTTGTTGTTTGGTGCTGTGGAGTCGTCTCCAACTCATAGCGACCCTACGCACAGCAGAAGGACACACTGCCCGGTCCTGTGCCAGCCTCAACAATCCTCGCTATACCTGAGCCCATCGTCAAACCTTGTATAAACTAAAAACTCAAACTCACTGCCGTCAAGTCAATTCCTACACATAGAGACCCCCCCCCACACACACACACTGGGTTTCGAAAGCTGTAAATCTTTACAGAAGCAAACCTCCCCATCTTTCTTCCCCAGAGCAGCTGGCGGGTTCCAACCAACCTTTTTGGTTAGCAGCCAAATGCCTTAACCACTACACTACCATAGCGTAAGGAGCTCTGGTAGCATAATGCCTAAGGCACTTGACTGCTAACCAAGAGGCTGGCGGTTCAAACCCACCAGCCACTCCTCGGAAGGAAGGTTGGGCAATCCTACTTCCCTAGAGATAACTGCCTCGGAAACCCAAGGAGGGGTCGCTAGGAGTCGGGGCCGACTTGATGGCAAATAACAACAACAACACCACCATAGTGAAAAAATATTTATGCTGAATTTTTCACTTTTGGTTTTACTTGAAATCCATAAAGCTTGGATTTGTGGTGCCTGGGCGCGCTCTGTTGCTGGCGCGGGATGCTCTCCCGGAGAAGGCTTTACAAAAAGAAACCAGATGCGTTCCTTTACGCTGTGCTTATCTTGGGCTTTAGCTAGCTCTTTTCCCGCTGGAGCTTTATGTGAATTCGCTCCCAAGGAATGTTGCGTTGGTGGGATTTTCAATTTAATTTTAAAATTCTTTGAATAAGAAAGCGAATCCAAGATCCTTATAAAAATACTGTTAAGAGCTAAACCTAAAGATTTCCAGGTAGAAATCCCATGCAATATGAGATATAGAGACCTATTGCTTTGCAATATCAATAGCTTGTACCGCTTTGGGGAATGTGAGTGTGTGTGATGATTACTTAATAAACATTATTTGATTATACACTATTTGAGTCACTTGAATTCCCTATTCCCCACTGTCAATATATTACTCCAAAACCAAAAAACAATTCCCCTTGCCTTTAAGTCTATTCCAATTCATGGTGACCCCATGTGTGCCCCACAGGTGCAGAATTGTTGTGTTGTTGTTATGTGCTGTGGAGTCGGAACGGACTCAAAATGACCCCTCCTTGGGTTTCCCAGGCGGTATCACTATAGCAGATTGCCCAATCTTCCTACCCAGGAGTGGCTGATGGGATTAGAAGAAATAAAATAAACTTATTGACTTTGGCATGATATGGTAGCCTTCATGCATCAAACTGCTTACAATGGTTATCATATTAAACTTCATATATAAAAAAAGTCATCTCTCCCCACCAGACTATTAGAACCTCGAATGTTCTAGCATATACCTGCATGTAGTAAGTATTCAGATTAAAAGAAAAATTTTTTTGAAGTAAGATATTATCCTAAAAAGATAAATAAAAATGTTAGTGAACATTGATCATTTAG